TATATATATATTTATGTATTTACACACACAAATCAATGTAGTTTTGTATTCATTAATACATCATCAAATGTATTTTTGAATGCATGCAGTGTCTTCTGTCCTGGCCTACAGGGCTGGGATGTGTGGCAGCGCTGTGTAAGTCACAGGACTGGATGGACCGAAATGTAAATCTTTTGCCAGGTAAAAGGCCTCCCTTTACCTGTATTTTTCCTATGTGTTTAACTGTTTTGCTTGGAGTTCAGCTATAACTTTTGGGTGGTGTTTTGTATATCGAATCATCTTAGCTTCTTGAATATGTCATCAGTTTAAAAAAGCGATTTTCGCATTGGATGAATTTGCTTCCCTACAATGTGTGAATCCCAATGTAAGATGAGCACTTTTCAATAGATTACTCAGAAGCAGGGGCGTCCCCAGGCGTGGTGTCACCCAGTGTAGCCCTCAGGTGTCACCCGCTTGGACGTCATCACACATCGTTACGCGCACAATTAACTGCCGACGTCCATCTAAGTGATGGACGCCGGCAAAGAGAGGAGGGATGTTCAGCCAGCGCGATAAGGTATGCCGCCGGGTCCCTTCCTTTCTCATGCAGCTGTCGGGCTCTCGGTCCATGACCGAGTGCTCGATTTTTCAGAGCGAATGACACCTAAAGGAGAACTATGGGGTCATTGCTTTTCCCCATAGTTCTCCTTAGGGTAATGGGAGGACACAAACTAGTGTCTTCCCGTTACCCTAAGCTCAGTATACCGCGAGCTACAGCTCGCGGTATACTGAGACGCCGCAGCCGGAGCGTATCCCGACTTAGACGTCGGGATCCGCCCAGCTGCGTGAGTGACAGCTGGCTCTGCCTATCTAGAGGCAGAGCCAGCTGTACCCGCCCCCTCCCGTTCCGCCAGTCAGCGCTGGAGGATTGGAGCGGGGAGAGGGGAATCCAGCCCCTCCCCCTGTCACGGCAGAGAGCCGTGACAGGATCGAGAGGTGAGCGAACCCGGTATGTGTTCGCTCAGCTCCCGATCTACTGAGCCGACCTGTGACAGTCTCATTGTCACAGATCGGCTAGAACTATGAGGTGAGTGGAAATCACTCATCTCATAGTTCTCCTTTAAATAACTCTCAGTCATTTTGGTGTCACCCCCTCTGATGGTGTCCCCCAGTGCAGGCAGCATTCTCCTTGTGACGCCACTGCTTAGAAACGTAGTCACCCCCCTTGTGGCGCCACTGCTCAGAAGCGTAGTCATCTGTCTGCTAGAGAATAGCTCATCTACACCTAAACTTCATCTCTTCTACAGTCAGATAGATAAAGACATGAATTGAATACTATGTTGTGTGTTGATGATCTACAAGATGGGCTACAAATGTCTCAGCAGTTACATGAAATGTATTTTATTTGCAGGATTTAACCTCAATACCAGGATTCAGGAGATCATTGTACAGCGATACGTCTCCAACGAGCTGTTCATCAGTTTTGAAGATTTTATAGCGTGTTTGATTCGCTTGGAGACTCTGTTCAGTGAGTATTGCAGCTGATTCCAGTTCTGCTCCATACTGCCCCCTGTCTTACCTGATGTGTATTGTAAAACAAAAGTACATGGATGATATTGTGGATAAAAACATCGTCATGTAGCCTAAAATATGTTTAAAAGTAAAATGTTTAAAAGTAAACTTAGAGATCACTATTATATAATCCAATTATGTACCCCTTAAATTATTCTTAAAGTGTACCTCTACAGAAGTATTAAAACCCCTGTCTTTTGTTTTTTGCATTGGTTAGATTTCCCTTCACTTCCTGCCATGGAAAGTCCAAAGTGGGAGACATTCCCTCTTAGGTGTCCAAAGATATCACCCCATCTTGTATAGCAGGGGTGGGCAAACTCCAGCCCTCCAGCTCTTGTGGAACTACAAATCCCACAAAGCATTGCAAGATTCTCACACCCACAGACATGACTCCCAGAGACAAATGCATGATGGGATTTGTCGTTCCAAAGCTGGAGGGCCGGAGTTTGCCCACCCCTGTTCTAGGGAAACCAATCAAATGCAAGCTTTCATATTCCGACCCTTTGTCTGAATAATAATCATATCATTAGAGCATACGGGTAAAAATCTTTTTTCCCCCCTTCAGAAATGTTTAATATACTGGACGCAGACAAGAGCGGAAGTGTCAGCCTGTCCTTAACTGAGGTAAGGGTTTCCATTGTAGAGTAAAGACATCTTTGCAAACTTTTTCTTTTTTTAAAGATTTTTTAATAACATTTGTGACTTTAAAAATGTGCAAATTTGGGGGGAATGTTTGGAAGGAGTGCAGTAAGTTTGAAGGTTTGAAAAGAAACTATAATGGTTTTGTGTCAGGTTGGTTTTTTTTAACTTATATTTTTAAATTTATGTTTTATTTTTTATTTTTTATTTTTACTATGTATATATCTTTGCTTTACAAACCAACATTTAAAGCCCAACTGAACCTTTATTTTGAGTCAGCATAGTCTTATAGTTGCTTTTCTTTAGAAAGCAGCCACAGAAGGACTCTTTCTCTATGTGTGGAAGCAGTGGTCTCTATGCAGAGGTCCAATACACCCACTGCGAGTCGGAGCTAGATCTCCCTAATCAGCAAGCAACATGAGCTTTTAGGCCTCAAAAACATGGACATGCACAGCCATACATCATACACGTCCATGCAGAGACCTGCACCCAGGAAGGACAGACAGTCTGCTTCCAAGGGCGTTCATCTGAACCTGTATGGATGTGCAAGTTTAGGTCGGTGTGTAGCTGCATGAAGCTGCGTCCTGTCATAGAGATGTAAAGATAACTGCATGCAGCTACTTGCACAGCCTGTCCTTCCCAGGGCACAAGTCTTTGCACAGATGTGCACGCTATATGGATGTGCAAATGCGTGTGAATGAAGCCTTGTCCAAAGCTTGGAATTTTTTTTGACTTTAGACACGCTTTAGAGCTCCACCTGCTGGATGCATGTGGAAATACAAAATGTTTATGTAATGATTCGCATTTACAGCTCTATTCACAGAAGGGTGAAGGGTTTGGAGAAGGCAGGAGAAGTGAACAATCTAGGACAACATAGCTGAACTGGAAATATTTTCCAATTCAGCTCACTTTCCAGCTCAGCTATGTTGTCCTAGATTGTTCCCATCTCCTGCCTTCTCCAAACTCTTCACCCTTCTGTGAATAACCCTGTTAATATATTTTTAAAATGTTGTTTTTTTGATGTATACATAAATATCTACCACAGAGTTCTCTTAATTAACTGGTTTTTTTTACCTTACAGTGGCTTTGTGCTGCACTGATATGAAAAAAATCCTGTCCATGGAACCGGTGACTGTGCATTGTCATTAGACTATGTAGTCTATTTATAAATAAACATTACATAGCTAGTCAACCAGCACAATTGCATGTGTATTCGTTTGTGTGAAATAACCAGCTGTTGTAAGAAAGGGGCAACACTGAATGTTCTTAGGCTATTCTCTCTTCTGGTCGAATGTTCTTCAAATAATGACAGCAATAAAAACAGGATCGTTCATAAAGAACATACATAGTGAATCAGGAAAATACCTTATTATGGCCACTAGATGGAGCTAAAGATCATGGGAAATAAATACATATTGGAAACAAGAGACGCGATGTAAGAATTCTAGAGAACACTGGAGGCAAATAAATGTAATCATTGCTGTAAGGACAGGGGCGTCCCTATAGCAATGTTTACATTCAGGATGTAAACATTGTTCAGGAGCGGAGACCGGGTGACACCCCGCCGTGACATCAGCGCGCACACGTGCGCAATGACATTATCGCGCATGCCGGCCATCTTTGTGATGAACGCCGGCAGAGAGAGGAGGGGATGTTCACTTGGTGGGATGAGGTATGCCGTCGGGTCTCCTCCTCTCTCCTGACATTGTTGGGCTCTCGGTCCATGACCAAGTGCCCGACTTTTCAGAGGGGGTGACACCACAATGACTTTCAGTCATTGTGGTGTCACCTTTGCATTGGTGTCACCAGGGTGTGGGCCGCACCCCCGCATCCCCCTAGTGACGCCACTGAATAGGGGTCCCCATAGTCTGCTCAGAGGCAGAAATCTCTTCATTATTAATAATGATACCATTTATCAGGAATATAGAACACGACCAGTGAATTCCTTTCATGTAAAACGCCTTTGTTGTATATAAAGAAATACTCAATACAAGTCAATAAAACGTATTGAACATGTTATTGTTGGTTTGTCTGTGTGAATCTTTATAGCTGTGACACATGCATTGCCTTTAGGGCCCATTCACACCAGAAGTGTTGAGGTTGCGCTGGCTGCTTTTTCCAACGTGGCCCCAAAGCATATACAAGGCAAATGTAAACACACACAGCTTACTAGCACACACAAGGGTGGCTCCATAGGACCCTGCAAGGGAAAGGAGCCGCCCTAAAACAGGATATCAGGACCAGAGCTCAGGGGATCAGCTGATTCTGCAGGAAGCTAAGACTTTTAAACATCAAAGAGCAGCGTCCATTGTAAGTGATTTAATCAGCAATTGAAATAGCTTAAAAACCTTTTGACTTTCATAAGACTTTAAGCACATAACCACCTTCACAGATGACATACATATAAAGGAGCTGGCTCACCTGCCATGGAGTGTGCCACATAGCACAGATTTGTCTGGCATGGAAGGAGACCTGATTTTACTATGCTTAAAAAACAACATTTACCATATTGCAGCTCTCCAGCCTTTAGATGGTGGTGGCTGCTTTAGTTTTATTTTATTTTCACCTGGCGATCCTGACAGTAACATGGTGCCTGTCCTAGGCTGACAAAGCTCACTCACCCTACCAGGGGCGTAACTAGAAATCACAGGGCCCGATAGCAAAATTTTGTATGGGGCCCCGTGACTGCTAGTTATGCCACTTGCAGAGCCCCAGCGGAGAGTGACCCTGCAGAGCCCACCATAGACTCTCTATAGTGGGCTCTGCAGGTTCTGAGATCTCTTACCTGTCAGCGCCTCTGTGGTCGCCGGGCCCCGACTCCTGTTCCGTCCCCAGACCCAGACTCCTGTTCCATCCCAGGCCCCGCCGCCTCTGCTATCGACGGGCCCCGCCTTCTCTTACATCACTGGCCCCACCTGCTCTTAAGTTGCTGGCTAGTGATGTAAGAGGAGGCAGGCCCCGCCTCCTCCATTCCGAACACTGTCTTCATCTGCCACAGCGGCTGGCTGTCACTGACACAGCTCCGCAGCGGCTATGAGGGGAAATGCGCCGTGAATGCTGCTGAGCTGTGTCTGTGACAGCCAGCACCCGCACATGCCATAGCGACCCATTTTTTTTCTAAATTTTCAGGAATTTTCCCGAAATATAGTAAAAAATAAAAACCCGCAGTGGTGATTAAATACCACCAAAAGAAAGCTCTATCTGTCCCCAAAAAATTCAGTACAGCGTTGCATGATGGAATAAACGTCAGTCAAAGTACCTCAGCGCTGAACACTGAAAAATGGCCTGGACAGGAAGGGGGTGTAAACACCTGGTCTTGAAGTGGTTAATGATAGCAGATGGAGCTTTTTTCAAAACTGCTGCCATTGCTGCATATTATGCAGTGTCAGGAATTCCTGCAGACCACTAAAGTTACTAAGAGATCCGCATTAATGATAGTTCCCGTTTTCCTGCTGCTGTATATATGACACATCCAGGAATGTATTCACGCAGACTGGAGTTACTGGTCAATCTAGTTGAAAATCCTACATGTACCCAGATAGCAAGGACAACTTGCCATAAACTTGTGGCAGGGTTAAATTGTAATCCTTGTTAACTTGCTGCACACATTCCTGGCAAGTTGTAGACTTGCAGAACACTTGCAGCACAAGTTCTAGTTGACACTTTTTGAATTTGTAGTAAATTTGCTTGGCAAGTCTACAGCAAGAGGCCTGCAGGTCCTAGCAAGAGCTCTGCAAGTGTACAGCACTTTTGCAAAGCACGTTGACCTGGACACTTGCAATGCAGACTTGCTGTAATTATGCAACAAAATTGTGAAGCTTGGTAAGTCTAGCAATAGTTTAGCAAGTCATTTTCAAACTTGCAGCTCAATTGCTTGCTATCTGGGTAGATTCGTGTTGTGTGTATTTTGTGTGAATGTTGAACTTCCTCCTGCACACGATGATGTCACTTTTCTGGGTCTGTAATGACATTTCATCGCAGCCTGACAGGTCACAGTTCAGCCTGCACTTCCCACAAACGTCCGGCAGGGGGCGCTCGGCGCTTCGTGGTTTCCCCAGTGATCTCACCCCCCTACTGAAGAAGTTCTCGGCTCGGCTCCTCACTCAGTTCTCAGGCTGCGCAGTGAAAGGAGACTACGTGTGAGGAATGAGCGATCAGCCCCGGAGCTGTGGCCGTCCTTCCCCCGGGAGATGAACACACACTGTGCCCTTGTCCTGTCCTGATATCACTCCCTCCACACCGGACAGAGCCATGGACGGTCTGCTCGTAGTCTTCCTCATCTCCCTGGGAATGTTCCTGGGCTGCTTCCTCCTGGGTCTCATCCCTCTGGCATTCAAACTCTCCGAGGTGAGCCGGGGGCAGGGAGGGAGGGAGGGAAGGGGTTAACCAGCCGCAGGATCTGGAATGTTGATGTTGTTACATTGTATCAGTCAGTGTTAACCCTGTAGGTGCTGGTGGGTGTGGGCTGGGGAGCTGCTCCTGGGTCTTACATACTCCATGTGATGGGACTATCTCACTTTCCAGGGAAGGTTTGTACCCTAGGAAATGCATAGGGGGGGGGGGGCTTTAGGGCCCATTTCCATCTTTGCTGGGTCCATTCACACCATGTGTGTTGGGGCTGCACTGGAAACAACTGCAAAGCGCATCCCCAACGCATGTGGTGTGAAGGGACCCTGATGCAACGCACAACATAACACACTGCAAAGATGTTAATGGACCCTAAAGCCCCCTATGTGTTTCCTAGGGCCAAGGCAATTTGACTTGGTGATGGACGCCGGCAGAGAAAGGAGGGAACGTTCACCTGGCGGGAATGCCTCCGGGTCCCCTCCTCTCTCCTGGCACTGTCAGGCTTATGGTCCATGACTGAGTGCCCGACTTTTTAGAGGGAGTGACACCAAAATGACTGTCAGTCATTTTGGTGTCACCCCTCCAATGCTGTCACCCGGGCTGCGGGCCGCACCCCCCTTGTGATGCCTCTGATGCCTTATAGAGCTGAATGAAATGTCACGTGTGACATTTCAATAACGTTCTAAAAAACCAAAAGTACACAGTGCAATGCGCTGGGATCGGCACTGTTTTGGGCACCGCAGAGCAGTCGTTGTGCGTTTTGCACAGTAGCTGGTGTGACTGGACCTTCAGAATAAATGGGCTGTAAATGCACCACAGCGTGCTTATAATGGCAGATTTATTATAGCTTACAATTTACACAGTGCTGTACATACCATTCGTTCACATGAGTCCCTGCCCTCAGGAGCTTACAATCTAAGGTCCCTATTTCACATACAAGGGCTGATTAACCTAGTAACATGTCTTTGGCATGTAGAGGAATCCAACATAAGCACATAAAACAAACAAAGTTACCGTAACACAGAAATGTAAGGAGCACTTTCACCCTTCTCTCTTCTTGTGTGTTGTGTTGATGTGCATTGTGTTCAGGCCGCCTGTTCATTTACACTGAGCTGCCAACTTACAGCATTGGTCCAAGAAGAGGACATGCAGCATTTTCTCTGACCACAACACATGGTAACGTGTCACCTTGCATTGTGGTGTGCGGTGCTGCATGTGTGTCAGAGGTGGGTTGCCTTTAAGAACAACATAAATGGAACTAGAATGTGCTATCACACTTGGGCACCCGATTGCAAAATCCCTGAATCTGGTCTAAGGGCTTGTTCACACCATGTCCGGATCGTGTCCGGACCAGAACAGTTTGTTCCCTGACCAAAAAAGCATCCCAGTGGTATTCCTGGGATCTGTTAACACCAGCGCAGTCCATTCTGGACTTGACAAAAGAATACTGTTTGTCTCATTTTCTCAGGTCTGGAATGCACTGGAATGGAAACAGTTGAAAAACACATACAAACGCACTCATCTGCCGCTGAAAGCCCATTTTAAGTAAAAAAACAAACGCTCTGGAACACGGCAAAATCGCAATAAAAATGCACTGCACAGATCTGCTCCAGACATGGTGTGAACACAGCCTTAGAGGGGACCTGTACTTTGCCTGTATTAGGCGCAGAAATAGATTTACTTAGGAGTGCTGCAGTATTTTAATGTATGCGTGTGTATGTACAGTATAATATAGGCACAATGCAGAATGGCACCGGCTATAGAGGACTACAAATGCCAGCAATAGTACATTATACGGCACAATGCAGAATGGCACCGGCTATAGAGGACTACAAATGCCAGCAATAGTACATTATGCTATAATGTACTATTGCTGGCATTTGTAGTCCTCTGTAGCTGCTGGTATTTTGCATTGCACTGTATATACTGTATTATTGCTGGTATCTGATGTATTCCTCTATAGATGGTGTTAATCTCCATTGCGCTGTATAATTTATTATTGCTGGGATTTGTAGTCATTTATAGCTGGTGGTATTCTGCATTGCGCTGTATAAGGATTACATGGTGCAATGCAGAATACCACTGACCAGTTATAGAGGAACAACAAATCCCAGCAATAGTACATTATATCGGCTGTTTAATGTATTATTGCTGGGATTTGTTGTTCCTCTATAGCTGCTGGTGTTCTGCAGTGTGCCGCTGTATAATACATTGGTATTCTGCATTGTGCACTGTATTATATTGTGCATGGTATTCTGCATTGTAATATACAGCGGCACAATGCAGAATACCACCGAACAGATATATATATATCACATTTACAGTAGAGCCATTAAGTGTATGTAAACCTAAAGCTATTTTTCGCTATGTTTCATGTCTTCCTGCACACCGTTCATTTTTTGTGAATCTGTTGCGAAGTTTCTCATCTGGTGATCCGGCCAGTAACACTTTTCATGTCTAAAGCTGCCCATACACCTTGCGATCATCGGATGAAACTTTTCATCCGATGATTGAACTGTTGTACGATTTTCATATGGCGGCCCCATCCTGCCCCGATTATCACAAGGTTCAATTAGCAGTAATGTAAAAAAAAAAGCACCTGGACAAATTTGCGGTAATTTTAGTTTTTTTGCGCATGAGTGTAAATCGTACGAATTTTGACGTACGGAAACGCCACCAACCTTGCGAAAATTGTACGATAGACTGAAGTTTTCTAACCTGCTGGTTAGTCAAAAGTCGATCGATTGTACAGTATTTGCGGTTGTACACTGCCCATCAACCTTACGAATATCGGACGAAAACGCGATCGCATACGAAAATCGGCCGATATTCATAAGGTGTATGGGCACCTTAAGGGTGGCTACGCTCATTCCTCCGCTGTGTCTATGGAGGAGTAATGGAGCCACCCTCTGATAGCAGCATTGTCACCCTGTGGAAAGGGTGTTTGATGGCAGGTTTAGATGGATTGTACATTAGTAACAACCCGAACTCCAGCTAACACTATTTAAGCAGTTACAGCAAAAGTTTTCTTTTCCTTTTGGTACAAAGGGCTTAAAGTGTTAGTTCACTTTTACAAAAAAAAACAAACCCTGTGCATGCATTCTTTGGGCCCCAGTACTTTGAAAAAATGTCACGGCAGCATTTTTTTTTAAATAGAAAAAGTGCCGCCCAAGGCAAATGCCTAGTTTGCCTTGCAGTAGATACTCCTCTGCCCGTAGACTCCTAAGCCTGTGTGAAACACTCCTAGGTAGGTGACCAGCCCCCATCCCCCTCCACCACCCAATCTTGTCTGGATGGCAGAAGGTGCCAAACATTGTAAGCGTGCCCCCATCACTGCAGGAACAGGCGCTCTGGCTTGTTCAGAACCCGCACATGTGTGGCACACTCTCTCTGCCTCTGTGGCACAATGCCGGGATTAGTCACTATTACGGCAGAAAGAAAGTAGCCAGAGAGAACCAGATAACTCGCATTTTCAGAAGCAGGCCAGCAAAGGCAGCTCAATACAGGTTCCCTTCATTGTTGATGCTGTTACAGCAAGGTCTCTGAATATGAGGCAGTGAAGTACCTGTCTATCTATTATCCTTATGTCCTATCTAACCACTGGCCAGTAGGGTAATAGATACAAAGTCTGCCGGCGGTGGGGCCCTTTGACTTTACCTTGGGGCATAGGTAATTGTAGTTCACAAGTAAAGGAAGGGTGACACAGCCCCCTTTAGCCATAACCAAACTCCCAGCAGCAAACAGTATAAATAAGGGTGGCCAAAGGCCTCTGACAACACAGATGCCCTTCTTTTGGCAATCAGTCCATCAAGCTCTGTCCTAGCGGGCTGGGTGAATGTGGATTGAGTACAGAAAAAGTACTTGAGCTTCTTTTTCGCACGTAGGGGCCAATTGCAGCGCGTATCCATTGGTATTCCCGAGTGTGGCTCGTGGTTAACAAAGCGGTAACCCCGAGCCACACTTGTGAATACAGCGTAGGTCTTACCTTGTCCGCGATCCCCGCTGTGTCCTCCGGCCGCTGCCGTATTCCTGGTTCCGTCCCTTGCGAGCGTCTGCGTCGCAGGGGGGCGGAACAGGTGGGAAGTTTGAAAGTTTAAAAAATGCGGAAAAAAAGGGAAAAAAATTTAAATAAATCATACCGCCAGGGAGGTATAAAAACGAGCGTCGAACGCGCGTTTCACTGAAGTAAAAAATGAGCTGAAAACGCGCCTATAGTAACGCCCAGGTGTTCGCCTTACTGGGTTCACAAACGTGCATATTACAGATCACAAAGATCGTTATTTTCAGCCACGTGACTTCTACTCTCATTGGAACTCACTTTTATAAGGATCTTTATCCTGGTGTGTCAGCTTTGAGAGGTGTGTTTTATATACAGGATCTTAACCCCCAAATACACAACAAATACAAACAGTCTTTTCAACATTACCCTGTAAACAAGCAAATGTAAACTTGGTCTGTTTATGTTGCATAAATCAACAGTATGTGATGTTTATATAACTGGATGTATAGAGTGTGATGACTGTGTACAATATAACTGGATGTATTGTGTGTGATGACTGTGTACAATATAACTGGATGTATAGTGTGTAATGACTGTACACAATATAACTGGATGTATTGTGTGTGATGACTGTACACAATATAACTGGATGTATAGAGTGTGATGACTGTGTACAATATAACTGGATGTATCGTGTGTGATGACTGTACACAATATAACTGGATGTATAGTGTGTGATGACTGTGTACAATATAACTGCATGTATTGTGTGTGATGACTGTGTACAATATAACTGGATGTATAGTGTGTGATGACTGTACACAATATAACTGGATGTATAGTGTGTGATGACTGTGTACAATATAACTGCATGTATTGTGTGTGATGACTGTATACAATATAACTGCATGTATTGTGTGTGATGACTGTGTACAATATAACTGGATGTATCGTGTGTGATATGACTTTACACAATATAACTGGTGTACATTATCCCCCA